ACAAGAGCAATCTTTATTTGTTAAAAAATTATTTTGTGAATTTCTTCAGGTAGTAGTGACCAGTGCAATGCATAATGACAATTGCTAAGAATTTGCACTTTCTAATAGAACAAATCCTGGGATTTACAAACCAAGAAATCTAGATTGTGTAACTATACCCTGGAGGGCTGGGGGTTGTTAGTTTGGGCTCTATTTCCCTAGTATGGTTACTAAGAGGTGGCTTAAAATGTCTTTTTCCAACCTTTTATCCCCCTTCAAGCTCTTCCTTTTCCCCTAGCTAGGAAGCTGGAAGTTAGAAAATGTTGATAATGCTATTTGATTGTTTTTGTTTAGGAGCCTTGTTTGAAAACCACAGATAAGTACAATAGCATAGTTCTCTAGCAAACCAATCTCACAGTACCCTTTTATTTCTCAATTAACATATTTATTGCCATGTTTCTAGAGATGTAGACATGCCTGTAGCTAATAAAAACTAGTATTTATTGTTCATATTATGTGCCAGGCACTGTGCTAAGTTCTTTTTCTATATTAACTCAGTTTGTTCATTTAGTAGCTCTCATGAGGTAGGCCATTTTATAGTTGAGGAAACTCAGGCTAAAAGGTTAGCGACTTGCAAGACTATATAGCTAGTAAATGTAGGAGGGCTGGGGTTTGAACATACACAGTCTGACTTCAGAGGCACTTTGCAGTTTTGTGAGATAATCAAATCATTACATTGTAGAAGTCTCTATAATGAATTATTCACATATTTGACTTACATTCATTGTTTGCTTTGCAAGGCTTTTATCCATTAATTGGGTGGAAGATTGGGCAAGAAGTGGTATGCTTAGCTGAAAGCAATGCAGGAGACACTGGTACTGCCATAAAGTGGGCTCAACAGTTAGGTAAGTTGTCTTTTAAACAGACTTCACAGGCCAGACCTAAAGAATTCAAAAGTGCCACAGGATTGCAGATGAGTAGGGAACAAATGGATTGGTCAAATGAAACACTAAAATCAAATGACATGTGTTAAAAGAAAATAGAAAATATTTTTATGATATTGAAATAGTAAAAGGCTAGATATTAAAGACAGGAGCCATAAAGAAAAAGAATAACAGATTAACTATATAAAATATTAGTGGGTAGGGAGAGATATGTCATAAGCAAAATTAAAAGACAAATTAAAAACAATTTGTAGCATATGTCAGAAAAATTAATAATATGACAAAAATGGGCAAAGGACCGAAGTACAGGTACTTCATGATCAAATGACTATAATGAAATGCTACTTACATACGATAATTAAAGAAATGCATGTTTAAAGTGGTATTACCCATCATTATCTATTGTCTATTGCCAGAGATTAATTTGATGCTGCTCAGCATTGGTGGATATGTAGAGAAAAAAGGATTCTTGTTTTGCATTGGGACACATGTTAATTAGTACGGTCTTTCTGAAGGACAGCCAAACAATATGTATCATTTTATGGAGTGCAGACCTTTTGCACTCAATTTTATTCCTTTTTTCCTATGAAAATAATAATACTTGTGTGTAAAGATGTGTATACATGGGTGTTAAATACAGCAGTTGGAAATATGTTCTAATAAAGCGTTAAGTAAATGTCATATCTTGATACAGTGAAACATTGTACAATAATATTAATAGTACTATAGCTGCATATCTTATTGACGTGGAACATTGTCTATGATACCTTAATAGGGGGATGAAGCAGTTACAGAATAGCCTGTATAAATAGTTTTTGCCTTTTCTTCTAACTGCATTATTGAAATATAATTCATATACGATATGATTTTCCTATTTAAAATACCTATTTACTTATTAAAAATTTAAATGCTTATTTAATAATTTAATATTTTTTAGTATTGTCAGAGTGATGCAACCATTACCACAGTCTACTTTTAGAACATTTTTGTTTCCTGTAAAAGAAACTTCATATCCATTAGCAGTGCCTATTTCCCCTAACTCCTTCTCTTACCCCTAGTCCTAAGCTATTATTAATATACTTTCTGCCTGTATGGATTTGCCTGTTCTGGACATTTTATATGGAATGGAGTGGAATGGAATGCAATCATATAATATACAGTCTTTGTAACTGGCTTCTTTCACTCAGCATAATGTTTTCAAGGTTCACAAATGTCATAACATGTATCAGTACGTTCTTTCTTTCTATAATGAATAATATTATATATAATACCTATGCCATCATTTATTTATTATTCAGATGTCCATTCATGGACATTGGGGCTGTTTCTGCTTTTTTATTGTGAATAATGAATAGCCTGTATATATTGTATAATTATATATATAATATAACCATATTTCAGGTATAAATTGTTATATAAAGAAGTATTATCAGTGGTTATCTTTGATGATTAAATTATGGAGCAGACAGATTGGCAGATTAGTTTGCTAATTTGTACTGAACTGATTCATTTAAAGACAAAGATATTTCTCTTGGCATAAAACATACTCTAGGAGGAAAATGCCAATCAATTTCTTCATTTCTCTGAGTCTAAACCTGCATTAGATGACTTATTAACAAAAAAAAAAATTGCTTCAAAGCTCTTTATCCTTTAAAAGTGTCTTCCTTCAAATTTGTTTCTTTTAATATTTTGGACATGTATTTTTGGGGAACTCTAGATTATCAGAAATAAAATATGTAGGTTACGTATTTCTTCTCTTTAAGTTACACCTTTTATTAATTTTACTCCTTCCCAGAAGATTTAAGGAAAAAGCAAGAGTCAATTTCACATTCATTAGTTAAAAAACAAAAATGATTCCAGAGTTTCACATGACATCATGTACACATTATCAATGGGAATCATTTCCACTGCTCACCTGGGTTGAGGCTCGTTCATTGTCATTGTCATGTGGTGAAAACTCTTCTCTAGGAGATGGGGCTAAATGGCTCTGACCTCTAAAAGTGACCTGATTTCTTACAGAAACAAATCTTTTCTGAAGGTCGGGTTAATCTCCTGCAGGAAAATGAGACTATTGGTCTAACTGGATGGAGGTAGAGAGAATTCAGAGTTGAATTATTTACCTTAAAATTTAATTCATTTGGCATAGCTAAATATTAGTGGTATGTATTTGTCTGAAGTTCACACACAAAAAAACAACATTTATTTGAATACATCTCTTTCTGAAAATTCACTTAAATGGGTATATTGAACAAAATAACTAAATTATCTGCATGAGTAACACCATATATAAAAGCGTGAGTAACCTTGTCATTTCCTTGAAGATTGTATACTCTGCCGGCTCTGTGCCTTTATGTCTTTGTGTAACATGCTAGGCTGTTCCCCTCTAAATGGTGGCTTCCTTCCACCCAGTTACTGAGTTGAATAACTCAGGCTCAAGTATAAATGCTGTTTTAAACTGGTCTCATCTTGATTTTTGAATTTGTTTTTAAATCTTTTTCACACCACTTCTCTTTGACTGTTTCCCTTTATCCTCCTATGTTAACTGCCACATTTGGGTCCCCACATTTGATTATCTCTGTTCTTTTTAATTTGGTCCATTTCTGGCCCTGTTTGCTCTTTGCTCTATTTTTCTATCTGAGTCTTATAAATATGCTCATGTCTTCAGCTTTTTTCAGTTAACAAGTAATCGAGTACTTGGTATGTACTTGGAGCTGTTTGTGTTGGGAGGATACCAGCGACACTCCTTGCCCTTATGGCGGTTACAGTCTAGCAGGAAAGACATTCATTAAATGGACAATTAAAAAAAAAGTTGGCTGGTTGTGATAGCACATACGTGTAGTTCCAGCTACTTGAGAGGCTGAGACAAGAGGATCACTCAAGCCCAGAAGTTTGAGACCAGCTTGGGCAACACAATGAGACTCCACCTCTATATAGTCAAAAGAAAGAAAGAAAGAGAGGGAGAGAGAGAAGAGAAGACAAGAAAGAAAGAAGGAAAGAAAGAAAGAGAGAAAGCATTAGTGTTAAGTATTAGAAAGGAGAAGTGGCAGCAACATCAGTGATTCCTTTCTAAAGGGAGACTTTGTGTAGTCTGGAGAATCAGAAGGCTTCTTTAAAGAAATGATGTTTCAGCTGACCGCTGCATGAAGAATAATAAAAATGGCTGGACAGGTGGGAGAAGCAGTTGGTCAAGGAATGATCTGAGCAGAGAGGACCAGTGTAGAAGGCCTTGAGCAGGGAGCATTACTTCTATAAGGAACTGAAAGAACGCCTTATTTCTTTTCTACAGTAGAGGCAGTTTCCAATTCTGCTGTTCGCTTGTAACAAGGGTCAGGGGATATCTTTTCTGCAGCAGTATCACTTTTAATTGTTGTGTCACACCTGCTTGCTCTAGTCAATCCCCATAAGACTCCTAGTACATGTTTAAAATTATCCAAGACTCTTGTTGCCTAGAAATAATGGAAACTGGTTCCTTATCTCAGGGTACCTTCCCCAAGAGATACAGTCTCCCACATTAGAGATGAGATAAGCACTCTTTCCTTTGTGAACTAATTCTAAATGATGGTGACTAGTTACATGTTGCTTATAGTGAGTAGGGTTTAGAGAGGATGGTGGTCTTAATTCACGGTCCTGCCTGCCTCTCTGCTTCCTTCTGGGATGACACAGTAAAATAAGTATGGCTTGCTGCTGGAGTTGGACTGGAGCCTAAACACGGATGAAGCCTTAAGTTCTCAAGCAGACTGTGCAGACCCAGGGTCTGTGGAGGGCACCATCTGGATGTTATTGGTGAAAATGCTAGTAGCTAGTAAGGATGCTGTTAATATTCTATAGGGGTACAACCTGCTGAACTATGCAGTATCCCATTAGTACATGGAAAAGAAAGAGCTGGCCTGGTCCATCCCTGAGAGAGCCTGCTAGTGGTGGACACATCAGTATGTTTGTTCTGAACTGCTCCCCTTCCAAGCTGAGAGGAGAGTCTCTAGACTGTCTCTAGACTTTCGTACTCACAGCTAGAGAACCCAATAATTGAAGGTATTCACTTCTTTACCTCTTACTGCCCACCCGCCCCAAAAGCCTGACCTTAAAGAGAGCACAGAGTATTTAAGAGCATACCTTGAAGGAGGGTGAACAAGCTCAACCAACTGTAAACAAATGGCTCCTACAGAGGCAGACATAATGGAAGAAACAAGATTAAAACAACATAAAGAATAATCACAGGGCATGGTAATAGAATTAAAAGAAAAAAAAAATAAAGAAAAGAAAAACCTAGTGAAAATTCTTAAAGGAATAACAGAAGATATTGCAAAGAATGTTTGGAAAATATGAGTTTTGAAGAACAAAAGCTATGCTGTATAAAAATGTAAAAATTAATAGAAAGTCAAATGGACAGTACTGAAAACCCAAATAGGGATCAGGAATAATTCTAATTTTATTTTATTTTGAGACAGAGTCTCACTCTATCACCCAGGCTGGAATGCAATGGCATGATCTTGGCTCACTGTGACCTCTACCTCCTGGGTTCTAGCAATTCTCCTGCCTCAGCCTCCCAAGTAGCTAGGATTACAGGCATGTGCCACCATGCTGGGCTTTATTTATTTATTTATTTATTTTTGAGACAGAGTCTTGCTCTGTCACCCAGGCTGGAGTGCAATGGCACTGTCTCAGCTCACTGCAACCTCCACCTCCCAGGTTCAAGTGATTCTCCTGCCTCAGCCTCCTGAGTAGCTGGGTTTACAGGCACCTGCCACCATGCGCAGCTAATTTTTGTATTTTTTGTAGAGATGGAGTTTCACCATGTTAGCCAGACTGGTCTCGAACTCTTGACTTCATGATCTGCACGCCTCAGCCTCCCAAAGTGCTGGGATTACAGCCATGAGCCACCGCACCCGGCCTAATTTATTTTTAGTAGAGACAGGGTTTCACCATGTTGGCCAGGCTGGTCTTGAATTCCTGACCTCAGGTGAACCACTTGCCTCGTCTTCTCAAAGCACTGGGATTAAAGGTGTGAGCCACTACATCTGGCCAGGAATAATTTAAAAACAAAAAAGAAATAAAGAAAAAAACAATTGAAAGGCAAGAGACGTAGAGGAAAGACTGGCAACAAAAACAAAAAAATGTGAATGATAATTTTTTTTCTGAAATATTACTTTTCCAGAAAGAGGAAAATAAATGAAAATATAATAATAAAAGAAAGAATTTAAAATAAACTTCCCTGAGCCAAAGAAAGACCTGAGTGTTCAGACTGAATTGGCTTACTGAGTTAAAAAAAAAGTAACAGACAGTCATATGTAGGTGATTGTCTGGATCTCCAGGATAAAGTAAAGCTTTAAAATAGAATAGTTTATTTAAAAAGAAGACGATATCAATTATTGGCAGGAAGATAGGGTGACTGGAACTCTCATGCTGCTGGCAAGAGTCTTAAATTGGCAAAGCCACTTTGAAAAACTATTTGGCAGTATCTGTGTAAAGCTGGTTCTAAATGTGAAGACCTTAGAACTGCCCATTCCATTCCTTTATGTTAATAAACAGAAATGTATACATATGTCCACCGAAAAGAATGTACATGAGCGTTCATTGGGATCTGTTTGTATTAGCCAAACACTGGGAACCACCCAGATGTATGTCAGCAATAGAGTAGATTGATAAATTGTCTGTAGTCACATAATGGAATACGATATAGAGGTGAGAGTGAATGGAGTACAACTACATATAACAGTGTAAATGAATGCCACAAGCATGATGTTTAACAAAAGAAGTTTGTATCTTAACCTGGGTTTGAGTTACCTGGGTGTATTCACAATGTGAAAACTCACCTAGCTATACACACTCAGGATTTGTGCATTTTTTAAGTCTGTATATCATATACTTCAGTAAAAAGTTTACTAAATTAATTGTCTTGGTTTTTTGGTTTGCTCGTTTTTTAAAAATTGACTTTTAATATATCTGTTACTGGCCCTTTATTGAACTTATTAGATGAAGTAGTTTTTCAGTTAATTCTCTTGAGTATTATATTATAGATAGATGATACTTTCTTCAGAAACCTAGGATGGCTTTTATCTTTCAAAGAATAATTTTTTTAATGCCAAAAATCATACATAGAATTGATTTTTGAAACAGCCCAAATATCTTCAAAGAAAAAAGTAAGGCCTGTAGAGCCTATCTGAGAGGGCCTTCTGTCTCCTGTCTCCCTTCTATGGGCCTGTAAACCTACGCAGCATGAGAATTCAGATAGTACCAGAACAGAATGGTCTTTGTGTTGACCCTTTTAAGTGAGCAACCTTTTACATTATATTCATGATAAATGTTGATGCAGGTAAATACTATCATGTAACATAATTCTTTTTGTGCCTCTCCAACCTCTTCATTTTGTTTTAGGGTTTTTTGTTGTTTGTTTGTTTGTTTTTGCAGACCTTTTCACAGATGCTGCTGAGACTGAAAAAATGGCCAAAAGTTTGGAGGATTCTGAAGGAGTTTGTTTTGTTCCATCTTTTAGTGGATTACAGGTATTTTTTTTTTAAGTTAATGGCATTACAAATATTTTCCTGCCACACCCAAACTTATATATCTACCACTCTGTTACCTTAAAATTTGAGCACTGAACCAAACTAAGATGAAAGGTGCATTTTAGGGTTGGGAAGTTATGTTCTGACGGAGCATGAATTCCATGAGGGAGCAGAGCATCCTGAGTGTAAGTGTGGCCCTGCTGGCTTGGCTTGTGCTGATAGAATTCAGCTGACTTCGGCTTAGAACTGTGTGGAACCTAAGAGTTGGCAGGTTTATCATAGAACTTTTACATAAGACTTAGTATTACTTTATCATGACCAAAAATAGCCATTTCCCAGTGGGGGAAAATATATTGGTAAATTCGCATTATTTACTTAGAGAAAATAGGCCATTGAGAAGAGAAATAATGTCAGGGTACATACATCACACACATGCATATGTATGTATGTATTTTGCTGTTGTACATTTGTAAGTTTTACTAACTTTTAAAAAAAATCAAAATCTTTTTCATTAATTGTCGTGTTGGAGTATTGGTTACTTTGCCTATTCAAAAACTGAACCTAGTGAAAGACTTGATTTGATAACATTTAACTTTGTATTTAATTGAAAGACCTCTGATAGTGTTTTTAGTTTTAGATATTATTACAAATACTTTTTCTTTTTTTTTGAAACTGAGTCTTGCTTTGTCGCCAGGCTGGAGTGCAGTGGCGCTCACTTCAAGTGATCCACCTGCATCAGCCTCTCAAAGTGCTAGGATTATAGGTGTGAGCCACCGTCCCCAGCCTGTTTTTCATTTTTGTGTCCTAGAATTGTCTTACATTTCTGGAGATTCAAAGATGAATAGAAACCTCATCTGATTAATACATACTTCCATCTCAAGATTTTGACTCTGTTGAAAACATGTTAGGCTGGATTATTTCTGATATTAGGCAGTTAGACTATTAAGCTAAGAGAGAAGAGTGTAGTGGTGTGTTTTTTTTAGACCCCATCTTACTTTGTCGCCTAGACTGGAGTGCAGTAGTGCGATCATGGCTCACTACAGCCTCAAACTTCTGGGCACAGGCAAGCCTCCCACCTCAGCCTCCTGTGTAGCTATAACTACAGGTGCATACCACCATGCCTAGCTAATATTTAAAGTTTTTTGTGAAGATGGCACCTTGTTTTGCTGCCCAGGTTGGTCTTGAATTCCTGGGCTGAAGCAATTCTCCCTCCTTGATCTCCCAGAGTGCTAGGTTTACAGGTGCGCACCACCACACCTGGCCAGAGTATAGTTTTAATGTCAGACAATATATTTGATTTAAGTTATGACACTGAAAAGTACATTTTTCTAGAAAGCAATTCTACATAGTACAACGTAGAAAGCTATCCTACATAGCAAACAATTTTAGTGTAAAAACTACAGCTGAAGAAGGGGGATTTCTGTGATTGCTCTTCATTTTCCACATTTATAAAGCTAAGCATTTAATAATTTGTTACTATATACTTCAGTTTCTCATTTTGGCATAAATGCAAACAGAAGGTCTAGCTAAGTACAGTAACTGTGGACTAAAGATCATTTAAATGCTGTTAAAAAGTTATCTCAGTTTTTAGCATGATCTTTGGACTATCTTTATTTTTAAATTATTTAATCATAGCATTATTTTCTTCTAACGTGGCTATGTTTTTATTGTATACTATTCCCTCAAGTCCATAGATGTAATTTAGAACAATAATAATACATTCTTATTGTCTCTTACTGTAGGGTCCGTTAAATGACCCCTGGGCATGTGCCTCCTTCATGGGTTTGAAGCCTTCCACGAGTAAATACCATCTCGTACGAGCAATATTGGAGTCAATAGCTTTCAGGTGTGAAAACCTGCCCTAAACTTCCCCTTCCCCATACAATATTGCCATGTCTGTTGCCGCACCCAGCCTCTTAATTTTAATTAAATTCTTTAATTTATATTTTTGGCTTATTTTATATTATATGTAATATGTTCTTCCTGCTAATTTCCATGGTATCTCTTATTTTTTTAGTATTTAAGGTACTAATACCACTCAGATTTGATATCTGGAAATTGAAGGATTTTTTTTTTTTAATCAAATTTCTTAAGCATGCAAGATTCAAAATTTAGATTTTTCAAAGATTTAGTAGCCTTATTCATGAGGGAGAATTTCAAGTAATAATGCTTCTGTTGTACCCAAAAATTGAGTCATCAGAATTATTTTTCATGCACATTTCCCTGTAATCTTTTTGTTATGGGACAGGTGTAAATTATTAAAATTAAGAATGAGGCTGTCATGAATATGGGATGTTTGTAACATTTAAAATAAAATTTTCTAGATTACAAAGTAATTGTTTTTATATTTGATGAATTATATTACATTTTACTTATGGTTTGCCATCTTAATAGCTATCTATTAAATAGATGCTTGTTTTAAATTTTTCTTTGTAGAATGGTAATAGATAAAATTTAGTTGTAAAATATAAATTATGCCTTTTTACATGAAGGGAAAGAAACACAACAACCTGCTCTTCTTGCTTGAGTATCTGTTATGCAGTTTATATTTAGCATAAGTTATTTCTCTAATATTTTGTTTTGTACATTTCATAAATATCAAATAAATTAAACTATAGTTTTTTTTGAGATCAAAATACCATAGTGAATTATTATGATATGAGTTTCTTCTAAATAGTTATCTTGTGTTTTAACTAGAAACAAACAGTTATATGAGATGATGCAGAAGGAGATTCATATTCCTGTAACAAAAATCCGGTATGTAAAGTTTATTTCTTTATTTCTTTTTCAGGTGGAATCTTCCCGTTTCAGCCAGGCTGGAGTGCAATGGCGCGATCTTGGCTCACCGCAACCTCCGCCTCCTGGGTTCAGGCAATTCTCCTGCCTCAGCCTCCTGAGTAGCTGGGATTACAGGCACACACCACCATGCCCAGCTAATTTTTTGTATTTTTAGTAGAGACGGGGTTTCACCATGTTGACCAGGATGGTCTCGATCTCTTGACCTCGTGATCCACCTGCCACGGCCTCCCAGAGTGCTGGGATTACAGGCTTGAGCCACCGCGCCCGGCCGTAAAGTTTATTTCTAATAGATTTCATTAGAAATTAGAAGTAAGTGGTAGCTGCTATGAGCTACCACTCATTTCTTTTTGAGATCCTGAATAATTCATCATTATGATTATGGAAGATTTCAAAAATAACTTCTGCCTAGCTCCTTCACAACAAAATTTCTTTTTTTCAAATTGAGACAGAGTCTCGCTGTGTTGCCCAGGCTGGAGTACAGTGGCGTGAACTCATCTCACTGTAGCCTCTGCCACCCGGGCTCAAGTGATTCCCGTGCCTCACCTTCCCAAGTAGCTGGGACTACAGACATGTGCCACCATGTCTGGCTAACTTTTTTGTATTTTTAGTAGTGATGGGATTTTACCATGTTGGCCAGGCTGGTATTGAACTCCTGACCTCAAGTGACCCGCCCTCATCAGCCTCCCACAGTGCTGGGATTACAGATGTGAGTCAATGTGTCCAGCCACAATAAAATTCTTGGTCATAGGAATTTGGAGAGGAAAGGAGAACTAATTATGGGTTTATGGAGAATATATTGCAATATCAAATTTGGGTGCATCTTGACACTCATATGTGTATTATATAAATCTTTAAAATCTCTTTTTTGGGTGTGTGGCTATCCTTAGGGCATGAAGCATCAAACTTCTTGACTTTTTTCCTGTAATAGCTAAGCGAATTTTTATGTTGCCCTAGTTTATTATACCTGGCCTGTATCAAACTAGTCCACTAAGACAAACAAGGGCAGGTGAGAAAATTGATGGTAGAAATAAGGAAAATGTTTAAAGATTACCCAGTAGGATCCTCTGTCGTTAGGTTAATGCTAAGTGATATAATTTTAGAATTAAAAAGTCAAATTTATAAAATAAAATCAAGGATTTCAGAAAGAATATGTAGGCCACTGAAAAAGAATGATGCTTTTATTGTAGTAATTCATCTCACATATATTTTGTTTCCCATAGGGCAGATGGAGGAGTTTTTCAGACCTGTTTTATGAGAATATAGACAGACCTGCTGACGTTGACATGTCGTGCCTAGGGGCAGCTTCTCTAGCTGGCCTTGCTGTTGGTATGTGTGAAGTTTATAAAATTGAGAGCTTTCTTGCAAACTGTTTCTTACAGATAGCCTTTCTCCTCTCAAATCACAAAATTCTAGAGAAGCTGAAAAGCCTTGGTGTCCACCAAACTCCATATACATATGCATATTGCTCACAAAATATCCTGTTGACTTCCTCTGTTGGTAAGTCTGGCTGCACCTCTTCGTACCTCACTCCTTCAGTCAGAAGTATGAGACAAGGACAGTTAATTCTCAGCCGTGTCAGTCTCTAGCAAGAAAGAGTCTCTGGGCAAACTTTCTGGTTAGATAGTGTTAAAGAAAAAAATTATTCAGTGACACTTATTAAAGAACATTAAGGTGAGCCGGGTGTGGTGACTCACGCCTGTAATCCCAGCACTTTGAGAGGCCGAGGTGGGTGGATCACCTGAGGTCAGGAGTTCGAGACCAGCGTGGCTAACATGGTGAAACCCCCGTCTCTACTAAAAATACAAAAATTAGCTGGGAATGGTGGCACATGCCTGTAGTCTCAGCTACTTGGGAGGCTAAGACAGGAGAATTGCTTGAACCTGGGAAGGGGGAGGTTGCAGTGAGCAGAGATCATGCCACTGCATTCCAACCTGGGTGACAGAGCAAGGCTCTGCCTCCCTCCCCCCCCCCCAAAAAAAAGAAGGACTATCAAGATAGGTATAGGGACTCCTTCAGTGGGATCTTATGGTAGGAGAGAGAGATTAGGCTCAACTATAAATACAATAAGGAAAAGTGAGAAATTATAGCCAAAGAGCAGAGTGACTGTCAGTGGATGGAAAATTACTAAAAGGAAACATTGAGGTAAGGGGAAATTCTTGCTAACCATCCTGATAACATTCTCAAGAAGGCAGGCCAGGGTGATCAGATATCATCTGGAGGATGTTGGAGGATGAGATATCGAGGTTGATCAGAAATTGAGGATAGGAGATTCTGGCTACACTGATTTAGCAGAATTCCTGCTAAAATTATGCAGAGATGACCATGGATATCCAAAAGTTGAGGCCTAGTCAGAAAAGAGCTTGGAAGAGTCTGAGTGGAGTTTGGTCAAGGAGGAAACTTTGCCAGTAGTTTTGTCTTTGGCATTAGAAACCACTCTATTCTTTTATTTATTGAGCAACATTTGTGGAGCACCTGCTACATAACGATCACTGCTGGCAATAAAGAGATTAAAAGCTATAGTCTCAGATCTCTGGTGGGAGGAGACAGGCAACTCAAGTGATGATTATGTTTGCTTGATAAAGCCAGTGAACAGTGACAGTATTAAGGAAGTGGTCTAGGCTTCCCAGAAAAGAGCACATATAGTTCAGTTTTGAAGGGGCTAGCAGAGAGGTGAGGAGAGGGTAAGAGATGGGTGGTTCAGTATCCCTATTGCAACTCGTGCAAAGGCATTGGTAAAGGATGGGGAGTACTGATCTGGTGAGAGTAAGAAGGGAGTGGGAGAGGTACATAGAGGTCCAGTTGTGGCAGTACCTCATAAAGAGGAGTTCAGACCTGATTCTGAAGACACTGGAGAGCCACTAAAAAATTTTAAGTACTGGAGGAACATAGAAAGATCTGCATTTGAACAGATCACTTTGACAATTAGTGAAAAGATCAGTGAGGAAGAATAAGAATGGAAGTAGAAATGTCAATTAAACGACCCCCTAAGGGCCAGGCACAGTGGCTCATGCCTGTAATCCCAGAACTTTGTGAGGCCAACGTGGGCTGATCACAAGGTCAGGAGTTTGAGACCAGCCTGGCCAATATGGTGAAACTCTGTCTCTACTAAAAATAGAAAAATGGTGGCGAGGACCTGTAGTCTCAGCTATTCGGGAGGCTGAGGCAGGAGAATTGCTTGAACCCGGGAGGCGGAGGATTGCCCAGGCTGCAGTGCAGTGAGCCGAGATTGTACCACTGCACTGCAGCCTGGGCAACAGTGTGAGACTCTATCTCAAAAACAACATAAATAGGCCCCCCAGGAAGCAGGATGATGCCTTGGGACACTGGGAATATTTTAATGTGTTTCTTTCTTGGGGGTGTTTGTTACAAAATAAGATACTTTACATTTGACAGTTTTAGGCTAATAGTATATTAAAGTTACAAAAAGCCTGAAATCTTGGTAAATTCATCTTAAACTTGATTCTACTAAAAATCTGGTAATTTTGAATAAAATTGAAACAGTTATTCATTTGTTCGTTGATGAATATTTAATTTAAATTGAAGAAAATAAACTTTCCCTTAAATAATCAATCCCATTTGCAAATTTGAACTCCTTCGTATTCCAACTCCTATAAATTTAATATGGTCAATTTTCCTCTTATTACTTTCACATCTCTGATTGAGCAAACTCAGAGCTGTAACAAGGTAACTCAAATACTTAACACATTGAATAAATTAAGCTATAATTATAGTAAATCAAGTTCTCATAAGCATTCTTATAGTTATGTTAATAAGATTCTTCTATGCTTTTCACCTTGTAAGACTCAATAAGTCAGATTCTCTTGAAAGTTTAAAATGCTTTAAGTAAAAATAAAATAAAATGCTTTAAGTAACGAACACATGCAGGTTTGTTGTTGTTGTTTTGAGACGGAGTCTCACTCTGTTACCCAGGCTGGAGTGCATTGTTGCAATCTCAGCTCACTGCAACCTCTGGTTCCTGGGTTCAAGCAGTTCTCCTGCCTCAGCCTCCCAAGTAGCTGGGACTGCAGGCAGACGCCACCATGCCTGGCTAATTCTTGTGTTTTTAGTAGAGATGGGGTTTCGCCATGTTGGCCAAGCTGGTCTAGAACTCCTGACCTCAGGTGATCCGCCCCCCTTGGCCTCCCAAAGTGCTGGGATCACAGGGTGAGCCACCGTGCCAAGTCCCACATGCAAGTTACTTTTATACATAACACAGTGACTTGAGTTTTATCTATGTCATTATATCTATATTTAATTTCAAATCTTTGCTTCTATCTTAGAAATATGAGACTATGTATAGCCTCTGTATTTTACAGATTTACCCAGAAATTGGATTTGCTCTATACGCACTTAATAAAATGACTTATAAATATATATATATATATATATATATTTTTTTTTTAATGTAGACAATAAATTCTGGAAATGAAGATTTTAAGAAACACATTTATTTTCCTGATTAGATTTATCTAACTATAGTATATTGATGAAAACTTCTTTCTTTAAAAACTTGTCTACATTAATACTTTATTTATTTATATATTTATATATTATTTATTTATTTGTTGAGATGGAGTCTCACTCTGTAGCCCAAGCTAGAGAGCAGTGATTCCATCCCCGGTCACTGCAACCTCCACTTCCTGGGCTCAAGCTATTCTTGTGCCTCAGTCTACTGAGTAGCTGGGATTACAGGCACACGCCACTGTGTTTGGCTAATTTTCTATATTTTAGTAGAGACAGGGTTTCACCATGTTGCCCAAGGTGGTCTCAAACTCCTGAGCTCAGACGATCCGCCTGCCTCAGCTTCCCAAAGTGCTGAGATTGCAGGTATGAGCTACTGCACTCAGTCTACATTAATACCTTTAAACACAGATAGTCAAAAATGTTGAAAGAATGTCACCTGACTACATTTTAGAAAAGAGAATTTAATGTGTCAGTTTTATGGGTAAGAGAAAATGTACTTCCCGAGGATTTATAGACTGTTTCAAAAGAGGTACGTTAGACCTCTCGGTGAAATGCGCCAAGCTTACTGATAAGACACCTGTATCATTTCAGACTACTTATGATCTTAGCTATAAATGTTCTCGCCAGGCGCCATGGCTCACACCTATAATCCCAAGTGCTTTGGGAGGCCAAGGAGGGCAGATCACCTAAGGCCAGGAGTTTGAGACCAGCCTGGCCAACATGGCGAAACCCGTCTCTACTAAAAGCACAAATTAGCCAGGCATGGTGGTGCATGCCTGTGGTCCCAGCTACTCCAGAGTCCAAGGAAGGAGACTTGCTTGAGCCTGGGAGGCAGAAGTTGCAATGAGCTGAGATTATACCACTGCGCTCCAGCCTGTGACAGAACAAGACTCTATCTCAAAAAAATAAAAGTTCTCTTGCTTTTTATTATAAATCATATGATCCTTCCTGCAAAGAGAAATCTATGCTAGGACTGGAATTTAAATAAATAGTATAAAATGCTATAGTTTGAAAGAGAAACTATTATGTTAATACCCAATTTGAATTTTATGCATATTCCAAAGGGTTGCCTTTTACTTTAAGATGTAAGACAAAAGTCTCAATTTATCTTCATTTATTTTAATTGCATAGAAAGAAAATATCCTATTTTTTTTTTCTTTGTCTTCTTTTTTTCTTTTTTTAGAGACAGAGTCTTGCTCTGTTACCCAGGCTGGAGCACAGTGATGCGATCATAGCTTACTGCAGCCTTGAACTCCTAAGCAAGTGATCTTCCCACCTCAGTCTCCCAAAGCACTGGGATTGCAGGCATGAACCACTGTGCTTGGCCAGAAAATATACTGTTTTTCACTGGGATTTTTAAAATAATAGCAAGTTATGAAGTTAAATGATGGCATAGAGTAGCTGCTTTAGAAGTGATGTGGTATCTTACCACACAGAAACTGAGCTGAAAGTTAGAAACCAAAAGACTTGAAAATCCTGGTATATTGTGTTCAGGAATGATTAATCTAACAAAATTCAGAAGTAACAAGGTATTTTGGATTGTTTTAAAAACAGTAATTGTTTACCTTTGTACCATCAACTCACATAGGTTTGGATAAACTTTATGGATTCATGATTTGCCTTAAAATTTGAGAATAATTTTTTTATCTATAGGGTTTTGGACTGACAAGGAGGAACTAAAGAAACTGAGACAAAGTGAAGTGGTTTTCAAGCCACAGAAGAAATGCCAAGAATATGAAAAGAGTATGGAAGACTGGGCCAAAGCAGTGAAACGCTCCATGAATTGGTATAACAAGACATAGCACTAAATGAAATGACCAAAGCCATGGATGGCTGCTTTATGTGATGTGCAGATGAGATGAAGCTCAGGGATAACCAATATGACAATGACTGAGAGGAGAAAATTTTAAATAAGTTTCATAACTTAAGAGAAGAAGCATTACTTTTAAAAAAACAAAACAAAAAACTCTTATTTTTTCCCCTAAATCGTGGTAGGGCAGCAATACCTCAAAACTTTATGTCTTCTATTTTGTAGCAAATTCCAAAGGACAGTAGTCATTTCCAACCATATTTTGACAGTTATGGGTCCGCTTCCTTTTTATACTGGGTCAGTGGTACATAGGAACATAATTATTTACCATGCAAGCTAATAGTTCTGGGTCAAGCACCATGCACGTATTGTTCCAAAATTATGTGAAACGTATTTCTTTAATTCTTTAAAATTAAGTGAGCTATTTGAAGTACTTATAGCTAAAAAGAAAGAATAAGAAAATGTGGAATTTCGAAACATTAATATTTTATGTTTAAAGCCATAATTTTCTAATATATCCAAATATGAGCTTAATATGTTCCTCTCAGATAAGCTTATGAGTTAGTTAATGCTTTCCTTTACTGGTCTTAAAGACACTGCCTTAATTTTTCCTTGTTTAACCAAAATCTGAGCATTCTTTCTATGTTGAAATCATTGAAAAACTAATTTTAGTTAATGAACTAAAAAGAATATTGATTTTTAAGAAACAGAAAAATACTACTTATTTTCTTTCTTAACATTTATTTCAAAAACTTCTGGCTGAAGTATAACATGCTGGTAGGTAAGGTAAATCTTGCCTTTCTCTTGTTCTTTATCTTCCTTCATAGTTTAGATGCTTGTATAAATAATGTATTTCATTTTTATTAAGTGCCTGATTGACAGAACTTAATTTGAAGAAAGTGCCCTAATTTATTGACCACTTAAGAATTGCCTTTATTGGGATTTTTTTTTTTGTTCCTGCATCTCTTTGATGTTTGCTCAGTCTACTCATCTCTCTGAGTATGTGCGGTAGATAGCTGAGAGAGAGGAGGAAAGTGTGTCTATGCTCGGGATTACCCTTCAGTCACTCAGCCAGAGACCCACAGGGAGCAGCAAGGACAGTCTCACATTCTCAGACTTTCCTACAAGAAACAAGAGGAGTAAGTTGTGAGTAGTGTCAAGCTGGATATCGAATTGTCCTAAAGCAGTTGACCCTACCTTCCAACATGTTTTCGCTTTATTTACCCCTCCTACATTTGCGGTAGGTTCCCTTTGGATCTGCAGCAATAATGACTATTTCTCTCTTGGTCAGGATTTATCAGATAAAATCCTTTTATTACAAAACTAGGTATTCTAGTTACATAACAATGTAACTAAAGGAGAAACTTACAGAGAATTTTGTTTTTGCTGTCATATGTGTCCATTTTGGAGACAGATATGATAGAACTAGAAGTTAAATTGCATTTCTGCAAGTTCCATTTAAATGAACTTCAAGTATCTTAATTATTCAATTTTCTGATCAAGGCATTGTAGCAAATATATAGTATCATTAAATCTATTAATTAAGATTTGGAAATATTTTTGTTATTAATAAATAGAGGTGTTTTATTTACTGTAAAAAGCCAAGCCTCATTACGTAGATAAATCTTTTTATTCTTTCCCCTGTTTGCATCCTTTCTATAAAGCTTAGTCACCAATTAAAGTCTTCCTGTCAGAATCACATGGAAGCTGCTCTGCTGTTTTACTGTTACACATTCTGTTTCTCAGTAAGTGTAATTTTTTTCTTTTCCTTTTTTTTTGTACAGGGTCTTGCTATGTTGTCCAGAGTAGTCTTTAATTCCTGGCTTCAAGTGGTCCTCCCACCTTGGTTTCCTAAAGTGCTGAGATTACAGCCATGAGCCACTGCACCCAGCCAATGGGCGTAATGTCATAGGAAATAATTATTTTTGTTACAATATACTGAATTGTCATATTAATACCTGAAAATTTGTTAGTTCACTTCTTTTCCATGTTCCTCATTCCCAACATATAACCACAAAGTAAAGGATAAATACTTTGGGTTGGGCAAAGTGGCTCACGCACTTTGGGAGGCCGAGGTGGGCAGATCATTTAAGGTCAGGAGTTTGAGACCAGCCGGATGAACACGGTGAAACCTTATCTCCACTAAAATACAAACATTAGCTAGGCGCGCTGGCACAATCCTGTAATCCCAGCCACTTGGGAGGCTGAAGCAGGAGAATCGCTTGAATCTGGGAGGTGGAGGTTGCAGTGCGCCAAGATCATGCCATTGCACTCCAGCCTGGGCAACAAGAGCGAAACTCCGTCTCAAAAAAAAAAAGAAAGAATCAGTACTTTTCAGATAATGTTGGAAAGTAACTTTGAATGTCTCTTATCGGAACTGAGCATCTTCTCAAGTATCAGTGGCTATTTTTTTCTTCTGTGAATCTAAAAACTAATATTTTATTTTTAATATTTCTGGCTATTTTTAGTGACAGAGTTTAGTAAATATTTTGTCAGACTTAACCAATATCAGAAACATGACCACATTTGCTTATGTGGTTGCAGAAACAGTTGATAAGATCAATTAAGCAATAAAATTGTCTTTTTTTTTTTTTTTTGACAGGGTCTTGCCCTGTCACCCAGACTGGAGTGCAATGGCACAATCTTGGCTCACTACAACCTCCGCCTCCTAGGCTCAAGCAATCCTCCTGCCTCAGCCTCCCAAGTAGCTGGGATTACAGGTACACGTCACCATGCCCAGCTGATTTTTATATTTTTACTAGAGACGGGATTTTACCATGTTGGCCAGGCTGGTCTCAAACTCCTGACCTTGTGATCCACCCACTTCAGCCTCCCAAAGTGCTGGGATTACAGGTGTGAGCCACTGCGCCTGGCCTGTCTGTCTTCCAAGTTTATTTTTCATTTGTATGCTAATATTTAAAGTTTAGGAAAGTGTGTGTTATTTCTCAGCATGTTTTATTTTCCCTTTATGGATCTATCACATATTTTTAGGAGATCTGCAGCTATCTCATCAAGGAAGAGAATGTTCCTGTTCAATCTATCTTAAAGTGCTACTAATTGCTTTTATACTATAGACTTACTGATTTTTTCATCTTTTATATCCAACTATGGCATGATTTCCCAATCTCATCACTGACATTTTGGACTGGCTAATTCTTTATTTTGGGATACTGTGCTGTACATGAAAGGATGTTTAGCAGTATCCCTGACCTCTGCCCTCTAGCTACAAGAAGCATCCCCTTAGTTGTTATAACCAAAAATGTCTTCAAACATTGCCACTCTGAGAGGCAAAATTGCTGCCAGTGAGAGCCGCTGATACAGGCTGTTAGAAGAAAGTTGAAAACTCAGTGAATATAGTGTCATACCACTTTTCTTTTTGCCTCATTTTACCTTGAAATGGCTGTTAGCAAAAAAAAGAGGTAGTAATGTCTTGAAATAAATAGGGTTTCTATTTTGCTGATTAACGAAGAAAAAATGTCTGAGCTGGGCATAGTGGCTCACGCCTGTAATCCTAGCACCTTAGGAGGCCAAGGCAGGCAGATCACTTCAGCTCAGGAGTTCAGCCTGGGCAACCTGGCAAATCCCCATCTCTGCAAAAAATACACAAATTAGCTGGGTGATAGTCCCAGCTGCTTATGGGGCTGAAGTGGGAAGATCACTTGAGCTCTAGGAGGTGGACGCTGCAGTGAGCCAAGATCGTGTCACTGTACTCTAGTCTGGGTGACAAAGTAAGACCCTGTCTAAATAAATAAATAACTCAACTCATGCTATAATTGTCTTCTGATGTTTTCATCCACCCAGCATCACCTCTGCAGCCTTAATTACTGGAGTAGGTCCGTGATTTCAGTGTAGGGTTAATGTATTCTGCAGATCATCTTTTATTTGACTTGCTTTTTTGCTTCCTTTTCATGTCTGAACAAAGGAGATGATGATTCTCTTTAGTCTGCCTTCTGTGCAAACCTCTACCAGACTGGAAGCTCCCTGAAAGCAGGAACTTTTTGCTTCTCCAGAATTTAGTACTGTGCTTTCATGTTTGTGGAATGAATTTTTACTTTATGTCTGTTAGTGCAACTTTGTTTGTACACATTGTATCCTTGATATTACATACATTTGTTGATAGGGAGCAATTTATATTTCTTGTGTGTAAAATGTTTCTGTTGAATTAAGAAGAACTACTCTGTAGTGAGAGCTAGAATCTTCATATTGTTTATTTAAAACCTTTGGCCAAGCACAGTGACTCATGCCTATAATCCCAGCACTTGGGGAGGCTGAGGCCAGAGGATCACTTGAAGCCAGGAGTTTAATTACAGCTTGGGCAGCAAAGCGAGACCTTGTCTCTACAAAAAAATTTTTTAATTAGCCAGGTGTGGTGGTATGCCCCTGTAGTCCCAGCTACTCGGGAGACTGAAGCAAGAGACTCTCTTGAACCCAGGAGTTGGAGGCTGCTATGAGCTATGATTGAGCCACTGCACTGCAGCCTGGGCAACAGAGAAAGGCCCTGTCTTAAACAATAAATAAAATTCTTAATACGTTTATATGTTTGAAAAAATATTTGTGTAGAGATACACACATCTGTAAATACACATAGTTATATTAACTTTTTAAGGTTTAATTGAAGCCTTTCTCTTCACAGGTTGTATATAGTTGACTGCAGATGACTAATAGATTGAGTTTTAAGAGTGCCAAACGTTCTGGTGCTATAGGGAAGGAACTTCATAAATAGCCCCTCCTATAAGGGACCAGTTTTTAATTTAAAATAGTCCAGCTCAGGAGTCTGGCAAGAATTTTTTAATTATTTGAGGAGAGATGTATGTAGATGTACCCTGCAGTTCTTTGACTTTATTTTAGAGTCATCCCAGAGATGGCCTAGAAGGCCCATTGAATCTACCCCAGAGGATTCTGAATCCCTTTGGGAAATTTAGACTATGGTTTTCAGTAAGAATTAAAAGCCCCAGGACAGGCTTGGTGGCTCACACCTGTAATCCCAGCAATTTGTGAGGCCAAGGCGGGAGGATCACTTGAGCCCAGGAGTTTGAGACCAGCCTGGGCAACATAGTGACACCCCATCTCAATTATAAAAAAGAGAGAGAAAGGCCGGGTACAGTGGCTCACGCCTGTAATCCCAGCACTTTGGGAGGCCAAGGCAGGTGGATCGCACGAGGTCAGGAGTTCAAGACCAGCCTGATCAGTGTGGTAAACCCCACATTGGTCTACTAAAATACAAAAATTAGCTGGGTGTGGTGGTGTGTGCCTGTAGTCCCAGTGACTTGGGAGGCTGAGACAGGAGAATTGCTTATCCCAGAATGTGGAGGTTGCAGTGAGCTGAGATTGCACCACTGCACTCTAGCTTGGACGACAGAGCAAGACTCTGTCTCAAAAAAAATAAGGAAAAGAAAAAGCATGCACTCGAGAGAGAAAAAAAAGCCCCAAACACACCTTGGACCTTTATAGCCTACTTGTTCCCAGAATCATCTTATTGTAAACCCAAAGCCAGGTCATCTGGTTCAAACCAGTCAAAATGGGTAATCTAAAAATGTTAAATAGATGATTCAAAACCATCTTGTTTTTTTTTTTTTGTTTGTTTTTTCTTTTTTTTCGTTTTAAATCCTCTTTTCAAGAAAAAGGAGTTATGTTGTTTCTGTTCTTTAAGTTTTGGAGCCTCATAGCCATAAATATTTTGGCACCAGCATCTCTTGGCACCTAAGTAATTTGGCTGTATGGTCATCATATTCCCATGGGACCTTTGTTCCTAGAGGAATGCAGGAATGATCTTGGAGTGGGAAGGACAGAGATAGGGACTTGCAAAATCAGATATTTCTGAAATTATCTGTTATTCTATTTTAACTGTCTTTCCCCACTTTACCATAATTCTGGTCTGTTATCAAATGGCTGTGTTTAGACAGATAACTGTGATGTTTAAGAAACAAATAATATAGGGACTCCCATTAAATGATCTTTATAAGAAACTGCCAAACTGTTTTCCAGTCTAGCTGTACCATCTTATATTCCCACCAGCAATGTATGAGTGATCCAGTTTCTCTGCATGCTCACCAGCATTTGATGTTGTCACTATTTCTTATTTCAGCCATTCTGTTTATCCTTCTCAGTGAAATTTCTGTTCATATCTTTTGCCTATTTGCCAATTAAGGCAGGAGGATCACTTGAGCCCAGGAGTTTGAGGCTGCAGTGAGATATGATCGCTAAATGTTTGCTAAATGAGCCATATCTTTAAATATCTTCTTAAAAGTTTTTAAAAATCAGTCCAGTGGTTTATGTCATTATGTGGGAAATCTTTCCAGGCAAAATGTACATGGTATTTTGAATATATTGACAATGTACTGAGCCCAAGAGTTATCATATTCTTTCGTTGCTCATTATACAGTTATGATACTAATACTGTATAATAGTAAATTTTCAAAGATACGTTTACTTAGAATGTTAGAGTATACAGATATATACTTTGTACATAGTTATAATATTTCTAAACTTTTTATTTAAAATGAGCTGATTTGTATAAAGGTTTCAGAATGATTTTGTTAATAAGTAATTAGAAACTTTCCTATTTGTGCAAGATAGTATAGATTCCAATTTGTATGCCTCAGTAAATTTATAATTGTATTTCTCTGATGTTCTTAATGAGTTTTTCAGTTTTATTAAATTATTAAGAACCTTATAAATCATCGTTAAGATCTATACAAA